TCGCATCGGGATACGAACGGGGTTTCGGACGGGGTTTCGGACGGGGTCTTCATCATGAACGCGTGAGAGAAATCATGCAGCCCTCCGCGTTTAGGACGTAAATTTTAGGTTGCTTGGGATTTGAGATTTTTGACCAGGCTTGGGTCATTCGGCCGTCGCGTCGTAAACGCGTGACGTAGACTTTTGCCGAGAACACCCGAAGCAGAGCGCACACGTACAGAGGTAGAAAATGCTTGCGTTGGTGAGTCGCCGAGTAGGATGTAGTGGGGGCAGAGCTGTCACGGACAGGCTAGAATATGCTTGGGTAAAATACCCACGGGAGGCATTGAGAGGGTAAGCGCTCGCGCGAAAATCCCACGATTCTGGCATCAGTGGACCGAGTAGCTTGAGATTCGTGGCGAGGGGAACGAGACGCGACAAATATATACAATAAACGGTCGAGTCCGGTGCTTCTTCTTCTCGCTCTTTCTTCCGAGAATTTATTTGACGAGACTTTCGAACCGTTCTATTACAAGTGCTCTATCCTTGTCACGCCGATAGGTGCAAGCCGACACTTGTAACGTATTTAAAACCTCTTGTGTATCGCGAGTGACGGTGGTGAAATAAATTCAGAAACGCTCTCCCACTAATCCGATTAATTAAAACTATCTTTATTCGCTTACCATCACAACAGATCTTAAATCTAAATTTCCGCGCAAAGGAAATCGACGACGATCAAACACTAACAGTATTCGTTTGTCTACGATTTGTCCACATTTGTCCAACCAAAATTTTCGTTCGTCCACCCTTCAAAAAGAGTTATTGTTACTATTGCGTGGACCCTCAGGGAATCCTGAGTCTCAATGTAATTGAAGAGTGAAACGCGTTAGCTTTATAGATAATTGTAAATAAAAGGTAATTATAACGATAATAATAAACTGCAATAAGGATTTAAATTAAAACTTTGGAACCATATTTAAACTGTTACAATAAACGATTTTAAACTAATTATAAAGGAAAACGAATTCAATTGATAATGGTAATCTTATACGTCCTTTCCGTTACAATGTTGTCGATGGAATGAATGTCTTTTCATTTCTTTTCATACACCTTTTTGTTTAATTACAAAATGTCCTTAGTTACTACTGACCAATCTTATAATTATTATTTGGTACGATTTATTCTGATTCGTTGATGCGTTTCTTTTCAGTTATCGATAACGAGCGATTTACATATCTACAATGATTCTGACAAGGAGTGTATTTTAGGTGTCCGCCTCCGATTCCTTTGGTTTTCGGATATGTTTTAAAGGACCGAAAAATAAGAGATACGTATTTTTTTATAGCGGCCCGTTTTCATATTTAGGGGGTGAAACCACCCCTCAAAGTTTCGACCCGGAAGTACTATCTCGAAAACCAGAGGAGATACATAAAAAGTTTCAATCGGTGGCTTTCATGGTTTTTTATGTACAATAAACTGGTGTTAACAAATTGTCAAAAATACAATTTGTTTATAACAAAAAAAGTTGTTATAACTTTATTTTACAACTTATTGAAATTAGCGTAATGACATAAAATGACGAGCACTTAATTCCAAATCCATTGGTATATTTATTTTTGAAATTGCCTCCTTAGTCTCGCAGTTTTTTATTATTTATATCCTGTGCGCACGTCCGCTCATTAAGCTTCCGATTGCCTCGGTTTTCGGAGAATATATTAATAAAAATTAAATAATGGTTAATTTATAAAAGTCAATTTCGATTTCTCAAAAAATTTTATATAATATTTATGAATCTTTTTGTTTGCAAAAGCAACTTTTATTTGCAAACGTGATGTCTTGTGTCATTCATATTTGTTGTTTTTCAACGAACGTATGCAGCGGCACAAGAATAACTCTGGCGACGTTATTTTTCTGAAAAACATGTTTTCGCAGACTTTTTTGTCTATGTTTGTGAAAGATAGAGTTATTAATAGAGTATTGTAAGAAAACAACAAGCGTTATCGCAAGTGCTCTTGTATATAAATCGCAGTGCTCAGGAGTAAGAGCTTGCATTGTGACTTGAGTTTCGAAGTTGGTGGACTTTACTGTCAATTTCGATTGTTCAAAAAATTTCTTTTCTTTGTTTTCATAATTTATTTTACTTTTTAGAATAATTAAAAGTGTCGCCAATAAATTGACCTGTGTAACTACAGTTTTTGCGAGTGAAAATGATTATTAATCCGATGAACGTGATCAATTTGTTATTAGCAACATTTCAAACAATGTACTTGATGGAAACTCCTATAACAAGGGATGAAATACAATTGAAAGAATCCAAACAGAAAATGTTGCTTGATAGCATATTTGAATTTAATGAATTCGAAGTTTCGGAAGAGTTATCATTAGACTTCCTGGATCAGTTTAAGGAGTGTGAAGTTGAAGCTGTTGATGAAGATGATGAAAATGAAAATTGGTCAGAAGAAATATATACAGGAGTTTGTTCACAGCGCGACAAAGATGTTGATGTCGAGTATAAGCGGAATGCAGTTACATTTTGGAAAGACGGAGAAAAAAAAGAAAGTTTAGTACAGTTCAACATAATTTTAAACTTGTTTCTTCTGAACGACAATTACGACGATGGACTTTACAAGTTGAAGCAGGAGGAACCAGACGAGAAAGATTAACACAAATTTCCGAGTATGTAATAAAAAATATGAGGAAAACTCTTGATGCCGGTTATATTTTGCATGAGAGAAATATTCGACGATGGGATTTGAAGGCATATAAGGAGCAGGGTAATGATAATATGGTATTTAAAGCTTCTAGAACATGGTTAGGTAATTTTAAAAAAGCTAATCGCATTGTTTCACAAAAAGTAACCAAATTTGTTACACGAAAAACAATGGAAGATGATCAAGTCTTGAAGGTCAAAGCTACAAACTTTGTTAATGAACTGAAGCCTTTGATTGCTGAATACGGCCCTGAGAATATATATAATTCAGACCAGAGTGGATTTCAATTAGAAATACATTCTGGACGAACCTTAGCAGTGGAAGGCCAAAAAAAAGTAGAATGTGTTGTACAATGTGTATCTTCAACGACACATAGTTATACAATACAACCAACAATAACTGCTGATGGAAGATTGTAATCGCCTGTGTTTATGGTCTTGCAAGAAGCAACTGGACAATTTGGACCAATAGTTGAAAAAACATTATTTAAGCCGACGAACGTATACGTGACTGCATCAAAATCTGGGAAACTCACTTCTGGTAATGTATACTTCGAAATTATATTAATTAAAGAATCTTTTATTAATTATTAAAATTGACCTATGCGTATATATGTAGTTACTGCGGATTTTATTTTAACATTGCAGCTCATTTCAAAACCTGGTTGGAAGAGATCTTTTTTCCTAAAACCAAAACAACAAGTGTGTTGTTGCTAGATTCTTGGAGTGGATACTGTGAACAAGATGTACATAATGTGAAACCAGTAGGCAAAGAAATTATAATTAAGAGGATACAAACAGGTACCACTGGACGAATACAGCCTCTAGATGTTTATGGATTTAGGATGTGGAAGAATTACGTCAGGCGATTTTCCGACGATGTCCTGTTGCATGACTATAACGTTAATCTTCATTTAAGAAACAATATAATTAAATTACAATCGCTTGTACATAATCAATTGTCCTCACCAAGATATAAAAACCTATTCCAGTATTCTTGGTATAAAAGTGGGTACGCAGAAACCAAGTTAGGAGATTTTGTGAATCCTGTAGAATTTGCTTTCGAAGAGAATATAGAAATGAAATGTGCACTCTGTTATGAAACACCGATAGCTAGATGTTCTTGGTGTAAAAAAGCATTTTGTTTAAAACATTTTTTTCATGAATATCACTTTTGTGACAAATATGAACCGTAAAGTCTTCGATAATATATGTATTCTCCGAAAACCGAGGCAATTGGAAGCATAACGAGCGGGCGTGCGCACAGGATATAAATAATAAAAAACTGCGAGACTAAGAAGGTAATTTCAAAAATAAATATACCAATGGATTTGGAATTAAGTGCTCGTCATTTTA